CACGATCACCAATAACGTCACCCCTCTTTCCCTACATTTTCTTGAATGTCTTCCTCCGCCACTGCCCAGCCCCTCACAGAATGGCCAGACACCACCACCCAGTCCTGCTCCCAGTCCCCTCCCACAGGAACCCTTCCCCGAGCCAAGATAGACCCTTAAAGGGCTGTGTCACAGCCTCTAAGGTGGCCCAATCACTTGGTGCTCCCCACAGACCTGGCTATAGAGATGCCACCCAGTCACTGAACTGACCCTGAGGGAAGATCATTTCCAGGTTGGTCCCCACAAAAGCAGTGGGACCCTTGAGATCAGCTGAGAGGAAACCCAGACAGGGCAGGTGCTGACACGCCCAGTAGTGGTTTTGCACCCATCAGCTGTAGGCATCCCCTCCGTGCTTCATGAGTGCCGGCTGCTGTCCACCCTCCCTCCCGCCCTGTCCTCCCAGCCCCAGCACCAGAAATAACCTGGCTGTGCTCCTTACACTTCACTTCTGATCCCCTCAGATGGCCATGGAATGCTCTAGGGAGTTTATGTCCGCCAGAGATCTACCCCTGGCCACACAAGTGTAGATGTTACCCCCCGGAGCCTACAAGCTATGGATGCCCACCTTGTGGGCCACTGCCACCTTCCTTCTGCCCTGGTCACCTACAATGCTCCTCCCACCCCGCCTAATGGGCAGAGGCGATAGGGGTGGGCCACCCCAAGCCTTCCTGTCACTGCTACTCACCCAGCCACTGCCCTGCCATGCCGAGGCCCTGGCCCGGCAGCCTCTTCTCTGAAAGCATCTCAGCACCACCCCAGCCCTGTATCTCCCTGGAGGCGGGGGCAGTGGTGGCTGCAGCCCTGGATGTCATCCATCCTTGTAAGTGATACTGGCGGGCAGTCGGCAGACAGGCTGAGGAGCTGCCTGCCTGAGCCTCTCTCTCCAACAACCACCCTTGCCCCTGGCTGCCCCCCAAGTTCACACCCCAATGTCCAGCTTGGCAGCCAACATTCCAGAATTCTCAGGAGTTTCTTTTTCCTGTCATATTGTCCACTCAAGCAGCCCTGTCCCAGGGTGGACCCCTCTTCCTTATATACACTGCAGGGGCACCTATCCACCACCTTCTCCCGTCAGAATGCTGTGGCCACAGAGTAGCAAGGACTCTGGGTTCATGAAGCTTTTTGGAAGCCTTCCAACATACATGTGTCCACAATATGCACACACATTTTGATGATACTCTTCATTTACCGAAATGCAATGCTTTCTTCATATGTTTTGATATGATTCCCCATGACCCGGCTGAGAGATGCTGTGCCCCTCAGATACCCACAAGCTGGGTCTTCCCAGAGTCAGGCTGGCCAGATACCACGATAGGGGGTTTGCCCCTCCATGGAGCTGCCAGGGTCACTTAAGATGCTACTTACATGGGGTGGGCAAGGGGCCAGGGAGAGTCGGAGATGGGCATGGTGGGAGTCCCACTGGTGTGGGGCCCTCAGCTTCTGGGGTCCCTGAGCCCCGCCTCACTGAGTTGAGGATGTCAGAGATCCTGGGGGCTGGGGCAGAACAGACATACATGAACACAGGTAGGGGGGCATGCAGGAAATAAACCTATGGGAGGTGAGCCAAGCCAGAGTAGGGGAAGCCAGAGGGAGATGTGGGGCCACTAACAGGAGACATGGGGATATAGGGCACATGAGAAGACAGAGAGGGATATGGGGAGGGGGACAGAAAGGCTGTGGAAGGAGGCACCAGGAACACAGATAGAAGCATTTGTCTATTCTGGTAGGCTGAGCTGGAAGCTGCCGTGGGCGGAGGGTGCCCTCCAAGGAGAGGCAACCTGGCCCCGAAGAAGCCAAAGGATCTCACTGCAGGTAACTGGCCTTCAGGAAGCGCCCGACAGGTGAGTAGAGGAGTGGATGAAGGGGAGGAGGGATGTTAAGGAGGAAGGATGGTTCTGGCCCATGTGGATAACCCAGGCCAGCAGCAGGCTAGGCCTCTCCTCTCCTGAATGTCTCCTTGTCCACAGGTCCTGGTTAAGGTTCCCATTTTGGTACCTTCTTTGACCTCCCCTGCCCCAATTAAGGAGTGGTGCTCAGAGATGGTTTACATCAAGAACCAGGGGCTGCTCTGGGGACAGGCTCCTGAGCACTGTGACCAGGGCAGGGTAGGCCATGAGTGACATCAGTGAGGCTAGAAAATTTGGGGGAGAGATAGGCTGAGGGGCCCCAGCCAATTATTGCCCAGGGGTGAGCCTGAGATGAAGTGAGGTGAGCGGCGTGCAGGAAGGGAGTAGAGGTAGGAGATGAGCCAGAGGGCTGGGCCCAGAGGAAGAAGCCATGTAGCTGCCCAGCTGTGTTAGCATATGTGCTCTGAGTAAACCCAGTCAGACTGGACACCCATCAGGCATCCTAGTCCAGGGGGAGCTGGGCCGTGCATGGCGGGTGCAGGAAGCTGAATGCTAGCCGTTCTCAGCGAGCCTCTGGCAGCAGAGGCAGCAGGCCTGGGGGCTACTACTTACATGGGGTGGGCAGGGGGCCTAGAAGACCCGGAGACAAGCAGGGTGGAGGCCCCGCGGATAGGGGGCCCTCGGCTTCTGGGGTTCCAGAGCCCCTTCTCACAGAGTTCAGGATGTCAGAGATCCTGGGGGCTGGGGTGGAACAGACAAGACATGAACACAAGACAGACAGACATGAGGAGATGACAGAACTGACAGGAGGGAAGGAGGAAGGGGATGCTGTTCTCAACCCAAGGCGACCTGGGGCCCAGCTTCCCACGGGCTGCCAGTCTCATCAGCAAGAAACCTCCAGAGGTGGGGCAGAGAGAGACTTTCGCAGGCTCTGGTGGCCTTGGAGTCAAGGCCCAATACTTCAGGGACTGTCTAGTGGTTATGAGTAGGAAAGTGGGCCAGGACAGCATTCTTAGAGGCCACTAGAGGCCTCTGGCCAGGGCTCACAGAGGGGCAGCCATGGGGATCCCCAGCAAGGGGGCTGTAGAAAGACGGCTGGGGCAGTTGGCTCTGGATGTTTCCTCAGAGAGGGTTGCCAGGCCCTTCAAAGTGACCCCACGGCAACAGGGCCCAAGCTACTTACATGGGACTGGAAGGGGGCTAATGGGAACCGGAGATGGGCAGGGCGGGGGGCCCTCAGCTTCTGGGGCTCCTGATCCCCTCCTCACCAAGCTCAGGACATCTGGGACCCTGGGGACTAGGGCAGAACAGAGGCAGGCAGATAGATGGCAGAAAGACCCAAGTGAGGCAAGGCAAGAAGGAAGAAGGTTAAGGCCATAGAATCCCAGGCCACTGCCAGGGCTCTAGGGGAGAAGTGAAAAGGGTCACTCCTGGGAGCACCCATAGGGGTCAGGAGGGTTCATTCTGTGGACCTGTGCCAAGACTTGCAGAGGATATGCCAGGATGTTGGAGTGATGGTCAGCATGATGGCCATGGGAACTGTCCCGGCTGTCCTAGTTACAGACCTGCATGGGATTCTCCCTGATACAAAGTTGAGGTGAGAAGGGCCTGGGACAGTGCCCTTCACTCTGCCGGCCTGTTCTACTTCAGCTCCTGCCTTCACTCCCAGCCTCATCTGCTGCTTCTGGCCTGGCTGCTCCTGGCTCAGCTGCTCCTGGCCCTTGTAAATCTGAGGCCCAGCTACCTCCCTCATAGCTCAGTGTCCCACCCATGCTGCTGATTCTGGGGCAGATGTCCATTCTCCTATGCCCAAGGGCCAACACCCTGTGCTAATCTCTACTCTTGGGTGTCGAGGATGCCCAGGGCAGCATCATAACTGGGGATGAGCAAATGAGTAACCTCTGTATGACCTCTAGAGACATCCTAAGGTAGTTTAGGACTTATATGAGAGAGAGAGAGAGAGAGAGAGAGAGAGAGAGAGAGAGAGAGAGAGAGAGAGAAAGTGTGTGTCCTAAACATGTCTGTCAGACCTCATCCTGGGGAGGCAGAGAAAGTGGAAGAAACTGGGAGGCTACTCACTGATATCAAGTGCTTTGGGGTCATTTGGGGGTGAACACACAACATCACTGGGCAGAGCTCAGGGTGCAGCACAGAAGCCCACCTCAGGAGAGGGCCCCTGAGTCATCAAAGGAAACACCGTTTGGCTATCTGGCCACTCAACACATGCAAGCTGAACAGACCCAAAAGCTTAGGAACTTTTTTATTTTTTTGTCTTTTTGAGACAGGGTCTCCCTGTAGCCCCAGCTGTCCTGGAACTCACTATGTAGACCAGGCTGGCCTTGAACTCACAGAGAGCCACCTGCCTCGGCCTCCTGAGTGCTGGGATTAAAGGCGTGGGCCACCACGCCTGGCAAAAGCTTAGGAACTTTCAGAGAAGAACAGCATCTTGAGCAAATTCTGTCCACATACTTGATACTCCAGAACTGAGTTCCTGGCTCCTAGAATGAAGAACTGGCCCCAAAGTCAAGCTGTGGCTTCCTCACTTGTGCACTGTGCCCGAGATGTGCCATGGTGTCTCAGACATGCTTTGACCCACACCAGACAGGCCCCCACACCAGGCTCCTGAACCACTGTACTATGGCCTGCATAGCAGGACAGGATGCTGCAGAAGGCCCACCCACTGCCAACAGCAGCCTGGCACGGCCAGGCAAGGCTTTCGCAAAGGTACCTTTGGCATCTTCATCTTCTATGGTTGTGTTGGTGCTGTCGGAAGACTCCTGAGAAAACAGAAGAGATGGGGGGCGTCAAGATGTGGCCAAGGACAGGCAAGACACTGCCAATGGTGGGACCAGCCTGGGTCCCTGGTGGGACCTCAGCATGGCTACTCCTGAGGAATTCCCGGGACAGGTCCTCTTAGGGCAGTGATTGGAAGAGAAGGCTCTGGCAGTGTGGGTTATTAGAAGGGCTCCCATCCCAGGGCTCTTTTTGCCCCTGCAGGCCACCACATCCCCAACAGCAAAGGCCATAACTTTGCCTTCCCCAAGAGATTCTGAGACACTCAGCTGCCTCTGTGAGAGAACAGACCTCTTGAAATTTCAAGACCAAATAATACTGACTCCTGGTGACAGAGAAAGCACAGAGCCTGGGCAGTGGACAGTCACAGTGAGCAGTTTTCATATGGGAGATCCCTTCTCACAGAAGAGGTGAGACCTCCTCTACTCCCAGGCCTGGACCTTTAGTGAGGCCCAGCCTCTGCCACCTTCAAGTGGCTGCTGACCTTCAGATCATCCACGTGCCATCCAGAAGACCAAAGGAGCATCTCACAGGTCCTTGCAGGACCACCCCTGGTATGGACACTGACTGAACTCCACTCTGGGCCAGAACTAGGGGTCAGATATAAGGGCAGCCTTATCCTAGTCCAAAAAGTTAACAAGGAGTCCCTCAGAGGGGAATATGACCTCACCTGATACACAAGGCCTAAAAGACATCAGTTACTCAGATGGGAGAAAACCAGACTAATGGTGTCAAGAACTGTGGGGGATATGCAGCTCCCCTGATCCCTGGCATGGAAAGCGCTATGGTGCAAGTGCTGGCCAGAGAAAGTGGGGGTCCCCATGGTGGCACCTTGTGGGATCATTGGGAACCCATGCCTGTGTTCGAGTTTTATCTGTCAGTCTGGCACAGTTGCTCTACTGGAAATGGTTCCACCACCTGTCCATCCCTCCCACGCCACAGAGAGCCAGCCCCTCTAGGGCCCAGGTGATGATGCCAATGTGATGGGAGCAGATGGCAGAGCAGAGAGGAGCAGGAGGGGGATCCACTCAGCAGGAAGCACTGGGCCACATCAGGAAATACAGGTGGAAGGCAGTCGATAGAATAGGGACGAGGTTCCTGAGAAGCAGACCACCCCATGGCCTGCAGTGGGGGGACCCTTGGAGCCTGCTGAGAGCCGGCCACAGAGTGACCCTCTTCAACTGAGCCATTGTGTCCTGCCCTGCCATGGCCCCAAGCAGATAGGCTTTTGGACTCTGCCCTGTCTTGGGGGTCAGGCCCACAATAGATCTGCTCTCTACTCTGGGCACAAATGCTTCCCCCAGGTCACCGTCCACACCCTCCTCCTGGGCCCACACCTCCTGCCCAAGGAAAGGGTGAGGAGTGAGGTGGTGGCAGTACCTTAATCCCGTCCACTGGGTTATGGATAACGGTGGTTTGAGGCTCCTACAGAAGGCGGCAGACAGAGGAAGGAAAGAGAGGGAGAGTGAGAAAGAAGGAAGCAGAGGATGGGGAGCCAGGGAGCCAGAAGAGTGGGCGGCAACCAGGGTCCGCCTAGAGAGAGTGTAGAGCAGAGGGACAGGGATGGAGGCGGTAGGCAGTCAGCGAGATGGCCCAGTAGGGATGGAGGCAGCAGGCAGTCAGTGATGGCCCTGAGTGGGTGTAGATCAGGCCCAATATGATGGAACCAGCAGATCTTTCCAGGCCAGAAGCCAGGAGCATGGAGCTCACAGGGCCTGAGAGACGCTGTAGTGTGTGGGCTCTGACTCTGGGAGTTCTCCCTACCCTCTGCCCCAGCATGGGGGGCACAGGCTTGGAAATGTTATGGGGTGGGAGTGGCACATGGGATGGACAGGGTCCAAGGTGGGGCTGGCTGTGAGGCCGGTGTGAATGGCCATAGGCACCAGGTGGGCTGATGCCTGGCACTCTCCTGCCACTCTCCTGCTCTGAGCAACCCCACTCCAACCAGGATGGCTCTCTCCTGTGCTCCCTCTGGGAGCCGAGGGGGCCATTTGGCAAAGCCAGCCTTTCTACTGGAGATATCAAGTCTGCTTTCAGTAAACTCTAGATCCTATAGTCCAGCAAACTCCAAAAAATCCATCCCCAGGCTGGTGTCCCAGGTCACAACTCCCACATCTCTGGAAATGCCAACTGTTAGGTTCACTAGAACAGAAGCCCCCACAAGACAAGGGGGCCAGAGTTGGCTCAATGCCTTCTTGAGGAGTAAGGAAGGACATAGTAGAGGCATGGTGGGCACCCCAGGTCAGGAGCCCTTGAACTTCCCTCTCTGTCATCTACAGACCAGTATGTCTGCACAGATCAGTGTGTCTGGAGGCTTTGATGAAAACAGTCACAGATGGGCAAGCCCACTGTGGCTGCTACCACACACCTTACCCCTGCACCACCATAGTTCCTATTAGACTCAGGACATATCTGCAATTCTTGCAGAGCCCAGACTGGGCCCCTCTAAGCTGGGTAGACTATAGCTGTACAAGTGAGGGTCCTTGAGGAGGACAGGGTTTCACAGCAGTCTACTGGCCTTCTACCTCACTGGCATCCCGAATGCCTCTCATTACAGCTTTGTGAGAGAATTTGGCCCACAAGTCAGTACAGATGGGAAACTAGGTCTCTAACCAGCATCTGGATGTCTCAGGGTCCCAAGGAGGGGCTCCCCAAGCAGGCTTGCACCTGTCTGATCCAGGCGCCCCCTGACAATGGCCTCTCATCTGGGGATCCAAACCCCATCTCTAAGCCATTCCACTGCATCTCCATGTGGGACTGGTGATGGTGTGCTGTCAGAGGAAGGCAGGGTCACATCAGACCCTGCTTTGCAGGGTCTCTCTGACAGCGAGATTGACAGGGGCAGGGGCTGAGGAGCTCAGTACCAGGGCAGCAGGAGGGAGCGATCCTTTGGGGCTGGTGATGGCCGAGCTGTTTTTGGTGCTGTTTGTCTGGGGCTGTGGAGAGAGGAAAGAGAAGCTGTTAGGGGAAAGAGAGTCATGTCTCTGGCTCCAGTATCTGTTGGGGCATGATTAAGCCTCTAGAGCTGGAACCTTGGGGTCTGGGGTAGAACTGTAGGCTCTGTAATCCTCCTCCCCAACTCCCCTGGAGGAAGGCTTAGTTGGTACCTCACCTTGACTCCATCTGCCTTCTTGTTGAGTAAACTCTTGGCTGCTGCATTGGGAAGGAAGGAGGCATCCTGAGTCCCAAGGGCCTAGGGCCGCTGTAGCTCCTGCCCCTCCCCCAACCTCTGCCCCTTTCCCTAGGAGAGAAGCCCAGGACCTGAGCCCCAGTAGCCCAAGGTCAGAGGCAGGTGTGGCCTTAGCTTCTGGCTTGACCCTGAGTGGCAGACTCTCCAGCGGGGCTGGGCCAGACTTCTCAGGGAGCCTCATCCCAGGACCGTCCTGACCCCAGTATATTCCATGGTTCTGGAGCTCCTTGCAAGGCATCCAACAGCCTCCCAACCCTGTGCCTCTGACTCCCAAAAGGCAGGCAAGATGATGACAGCCCCCCCCACCAACTTCCCAGAACGGCGCCAGGTTGTGGATTGGTGGGCAGCAGGACAGGGAGGGACAGTCATGCTCATTTGGGTCCTGCCCTCCACATTCTCCCGCTAGGGCAGTGGACCAAAGACCACTGTCACACAGAGTGGCTTGTCCCAGCCTACCACCCATCTGTCTTCTGATTGGCATCAAACCTCTGCACCAGGATTAAACTACAGCCTCCCTTTCCTCCCCTTGAACAGCCCCAGTGGCCCTGGTCATGGAACCACTTCTTGGTGGCTATAACAGAGGCCAACTTCAGCCTCTCTGCCCACAAGCCCTGGCAGACACCTGGACTCAGCACATAATCTCCCTTGATTCTCCTTAGAGATCAGGGTGGGCCTGCCTTTGCCCCATCCTTCACTCCCAACACTTGCATCCTCCACAGCAGAGGTTAGAGTTTTAATTACAGAACTAAAACAACAAAAATAGAGAGAGAGAGAGTCAGCTTACCTTACAGAAAAGGAAAGATGAGGAGGGGAGGGAATGAGGAAGGAAGAGAGGAAGAGAGAGAAAACAAGATTTGTGTTGGTTCAGAAAGGCTCCCACACAGGGCAGCAAAGCCAGCCTGTCCTGGCCCAGTGCTCCCCAAGAAGAGCCAAGTGGCCATGTGGCCAGCACAGTAGGTTAGAGAGGCAGCCAGGGCTGGCACAGCACAAGGAGCAGGGGGTATGTGTAGCCCCTTGCCCCCAGGGCCCATTCCCACCCTCCCCATACAGCTGGATACTGGATGGCCATACCTGACCTCAGCCTCTCATGCCTGCTAGAGAGGCCCACAGCAGGCCTGAGTGGGGACACAGTGTCAGGCACACTTACACCTAGGGCTGCAACATCCTCAAAGGGTTTCCTGTCATGCAGCAGCAAGCCACCACCTTTGTGATCAGAAATGCAGACTCCCAGGCCATAAGCTTCTGAGGCAGAACCCCAAAGGGCTCGGTATCTGCCCCACGGTGGTTCTGATGAGCCACTGTTCCATGTGGCTCGTTTCTTCTCAGAAACCAGACCTGGCCTCACTGCTGACTGCCTCCCTCCCTGGCCAGATAACCACAGCTTGGCCCCTCTCTGGCTCTGCATGTGGGGAAACGGGAATTTGGAGCACCACTGTGGGCACCCAGTTTCTGACAGTACCCCTCCTCTGGGTTATTATCTATCTCAGAAATTCTGTTACAACACCAGGTATAGTGGCACATGCCTTTAACCACTGCACTTCAGAGGCAGAGGCAGGCTAATTCCTGTTAGATAGAGGCCAAACTGGTCTACAAGTTCCAAACCACTTGGGGCTACAGGGAGACTGTCTCAAAAAACAAACAAAAAAATCTGTTACAAGCCTAGGGATTTTTCAGAGAGTCACACAGCAGGTCTCTGGAGTTAACCTGAGCCCTGCCCTTCATACCTCATCCTCAAGCCCGAGGCCCCCCTGGGTCTGCAACCTCAGGGCAGTCCTGTCAGGTGGGTTCCCAGAACTAGAAATGTCGACTTCCCACTTCTTGCACTGTGGATTGTGAAACACCTGCTCACTGGGGCTAGACCACTCCCTATAACTCACTTCCAAGCACAGTCCTCCTTGTCCATGGATGCTGCCCCTTCTCTTTCTCCCCATTTCCCTACACAGCTCATTCTCAGAGATAAGTGCCTTATACCAGAAGCCTGGGCTGCCCTTGTGTGGGGGTTGGGTGCTGTGGCTGCAGCTTGAAACCCACTCTGTTGAAGACCTGTGGTTGACATGGCTGGGGGGGATAGGGGGAGGAGACTGTCCCATTTTAAGGGTACTTGTCATAGCTTTCTGAGCAGAAGAAATACCTATCCTCTCTGGGGACACAAATTTCTAAGATGTGGCAATTTCAAAAGGCAGTCTGCAAAAGGCAGGCTTGACTACATCTCCCAGCAGACCATGCAGCCAACCCAAAGCGTTCCCTGCGGATTCTGAGTTGGAACCAGTGCAGGCCAATATTGGTCCAAGACTCAGTTGTGGTACCATGGTACCCCTTAGTATTCTCGGAGGACTCCCTGGATTAGGCCCAGAGACCCCAGTATTGTCCTTGGTCTTAAAAGATTTCCATTTATGTCTTCAAGTCTATCAAAACTGTATTTCCAAGCTGTGCTACTGGAGATGTTAGCAGTTATTTGTGGGAAGAAGCCGGTGTTTATATGTGGGTAGACATGCTCCTCTGAGGCCTGGGACAAGCCATGGTTATGGCTCAAGCCTGGGAAGCTGGGAGCAGACAGAGGTAATGCATCAGCATCTTCCCTGCTCCTCTCACAGCAGCCGTTGTGTGCACTGGGAACAGCATGGGATGCACAGCCCAGTCTCCTTGATTGCATGAGCCCTGGCCATCTGATTCCTGGGGGCTGTCTTTCTCCAGCATTCACAACTGTCCTGGACTAACTACAGTTCACTGAAGACAGAAGCCTGTGCACATCATTCACACCACAGTTCACAGGCAGAGGAGCCTCCTCTGGGGTGCCCAAAGTTAAAAGTATTTAGTAGGAATAGCTGGAGTCAAAGGTGGGCTAAGCAACCACAGGGTTCCAGATATCTAGGGTCTGTACCTCCAACTCAGGATGGCGTTGCCCATTCCCAGAAGGCCCACACGCAGCTTGACAGTCACCAATCACCTTAGGGCCCATATCTGCTCAATGTGAGAGGGACTATGGCTGTCAAACTGGAACACACTCTACATCAAGGGCCTGCCTGCTGGCTGAGGTGCTCTGCCACAATGGAATGTCTGACAGAGACGTGGAGAAGGGAAATCCCTGATATACATCCTTAAAGCATGGTTGGACTGGGCCAACCCAATGGAGTGGGTGGGACCTTCAGCTTTGCTTCACCCACTATCTGGTCTCCCTGGATGGCCATGCTGAGCTCTGTTGACATGCACTGACCTCCCTCCAGGACAGAGTGACCCTCAGCACTTGGGGCAGAGTCACACATGCAGGTGGCCTCATGCAAGGTTGCCCTGGCTCACTTGCAGGCAGGCGGGCATTGCAGGAGGAGTCCTGGGCAGAGCAGGCTGAGGTGACCTGTCTCACATATGTCCCTTGGGCAACAGGGCTTCCCTGGGAGCCACGAGCTTCATCATTTTTCTGAACCTAGTCTCCCTCTCACATGGACTTCAAAAAGGCTATAAAATATGGATTTGGAACTATCCACACTGGGCCCCTGTGGGGAGAACAGTCCAGGATGGCCTGAGCATCACCCAGGTGGAGGGGTCCTCCAGCTGTGAAGGTCTTCCTGTGGCCCTGGTGAGTTGTGAGATGGAGCCAGGCAGGCACATGGGAAGGGCTGGGCCCCAGGCTATGGATCCAATGCCCTATCTCCAGCCACCAGCTGTGGTTCCACGAAAAACGGAAACTTGACTTGGAGAAGACTTGGTTTGGCCCTGTATGCTCAGTGTCTACTCTAACCTTATGTCAGCACTCAGTTTTGATGGTGGCTATGGAGCCCATGATGAGGTCCCAGTGTCAGTTAGCCTTCAGAGGGACTGGGCCTATACCACCCCAAGGAACAGGTTGACAGAGGCCACCTCCTTCCTCAGGGGGGTTGGGACCATGTAAGAAAGGTCTCCTCTCAGGAGAACCTCTCGAAAGCTCCCAGACACTTGATGCTATCCCCATTTTCACTCTGGGAAACTGCAGCACAGACCACTAGGTCCATCTTCTCCAAGGGAAGGACTGACCTTGGTCCCCACAGCTCCCTTGGGACAACATCCCTACCTCTGTAGTCATAGTTCCCCTTCCAGGATTGACACCCTCAAGCAGCAGGCCCAGTGGCTTTCTGTGAGATCAGGGTCATTCTGAATGGGGTCTCCAGTCTTCCAGACCCCAGAGGCCAGGACCAAATGTGCCTAGGCTTGGTATGGCCCTTCCTTTTATAGATGATATGACAGAAGTGAGGGGCTGCCTCCTTGCCCAGGGTAGAGGCCTCTGCTAGGATGTGACTACGACAGGAGCAGAGCTCCCAGGGGGTGCTGCCAGCCTCTAGGGAGGCTCTAGGGGCCTGGCCAGTGGCTGCGTGCAGCAGGGGGGCTGCATGCCAACAGGAAGGATGGGCGGGAGCGGGTGGACACTGGGCAAGACACATCTACCTTGTTCCACCAGCCCCATGGTGGCGCCGGAGGCCGCGGTGGACATTGTGGCTGGAGCGGTGGTCTGTCTGCCCACTGTTAGCACCGGGTTAGAGACGAGGGGAGGAAGGGGGCGGACACAGACGGGGTGGGGGGGCAAGGTGAGGAAAGAGAAGAGACAAAGGAAGCAGAAGAAGATTAGAGTTAAAGTTTAGGTGGCAGATGGCTCCAGAATCCCTTTCTCAGGAGAGTGAAACAAGATTGGGCCGATAGACACCGAAAAGCATTTGCCTCCTTTCTCCTTAGAACACCCCAGTGGGGCTTCTTGTGCCCAGCGGGGCATGCAGGGCACACAGCAGACAGGACAGTCCCATTAGTGTTGGTGTGACCATGTGTGCCCGTTCCCGGCAGTACAGCATCACAGCAAAGTAACAGGAGGCAGGGTGCCAGATGCAGACGGACAACGAGAGACGACCACGGACGCTCGCACACTTAGTGTCAGACGACGACGACGAAGCCACAGACATAGCTGTCTGGGCACTGGGGCCAATACTGTCTCCCCAGATGGGCCCCATGGGTCTCTAACAGACCCTTGAGACTTCATTTTCGCACCATTCATTCTGAGCAACCAGGGTAGGCAGCCGGTCCAGAGTTAAGAAAAGGAAGGTTCTCGGTGCATAGACCTCACGCTCATCCCCCTCCCTCCTGCTACCTCCCGCACACAACATGGTGCTTAGAGCGCTGAGGACAAGGAGACCACGGGGCTGCCCAACAGACGCCTGGACAGACACATGTGGCAGGCCAGGTGGTGGGCATCACAGACATTAAGGTGTCAGGTGAGGGACATAGACCCAACACAGAGGAGAAGACCCAACACGGAGGAGGTGGGGCAGGGCATAGCAGATTCCCATTGTTCACCCAATGAGGGAGCCAGAAGGCCTTCTGGCAGTGGGCCTTGGAGATGAGGGCAGAGGCTGGGCCCTCACCAGCCTGGAGGAAAGGGACTGAGGGATGGTAAGGAAGGAGGGGCATTCGGCCACTTACAACCTGCAGGGCAAGGGTAGCACCATGGCACAGTGTCTTCCCTAGAGAAGAACGTCTCACCTGAGAAATTCCGTGTTGCCAGCATAGTGGTGAGGATGGCCCCCTAAGGAGAAACACAGACAGGGCCACCCTGTTAGAGTCTGTTTCCTGCTGGCTTCTGGATAGAGACCCCTGTCCCCAAGATTACAAGCTCAGCCTTTCAGAAAGGCAAGGGGTTTCTGGAGCCTAGCAGTTGTGCCAAGGCAAGTTACCATGTCACAATTAAAGCACACCAGGAACCCTCATGCTACTCACAAATCACAGCATTAAGACTGAAATGTGGGCATGGCCAGGATGGCCCACCACCATGGCAGCTCCTCTGGCTCCTTGATCCTTCATTTCTCTAACAGGCCCAAGACAGTAGGGCTGCCCTCAGGGCTTTGGGGAACTCAGTCAAGCAATGGTCTCAAGGACCAGGTCTGGTCTTGACTGGCATCATCAGAATCAGCCTTGCCCACCTATTTCCTCAACGTTCCTGGTCCACCAGGACCATCCTACAGCTCTACTCTCTTTACCAAACCTGATCTGGGCCAAGGCTCCTTCTGCCTACAGGAGCCCCAGGTGTGGAGTCTGACAGAGTCCTCAGGATGCTCCTGGCAAGGATGCTGAAGGGGCCAACTCTGCATCTGAGGCCATGCTATGACACTTTGGGCTATCATAGGGCCTAGACTCATGTGATCTGGACTTGTCAATAAGCACAATTCTGATAGCTTTCTTCTCCTGCCTCCTCTTCTTCAGATCCTGATGACACTCCCAACTCCAGCATGGGACCCATAAGTCATAAGGATGGGGGCTGAGCCTCACCTTGAGCTTCCTCCTGGCATTGAACTTCTTCAGACATTCCACAGTCTCCTGTCTGTGCATCATAGAGGCCACCGTTGAGCGTTGCTATTGGGAGAGAGGAAGTCACAGGGAAGTAAGGAGCTTTAGAAGTATCAGCCTTGTATCCTAGGAGAACCCCAGAGGCTTAGGAGACAGGGTCAGAATAGTGGTATTTCAGGGGCCCACATACTGAATGCTACCAGTCACCGTGGTAATGAGAGGTCACCTGCTCCCACCTGATGTCCCCAACTCATCTGTGAGTTCAGGATTTGTCCTTCACAGACCAGGGGACAAGTCATATGCAAGAAACAAAACCCTGGGGCCATCTTGGCAATACCCTGGCTATACCCACCAGGATCTGGCCTCCAGAGGGTGCCAAGGATGACTTACACAGACCCATGGGTGCTTCAGGGCCTCATGGGCCGTGATGCGCTTGGCAGGGTTGATAGTCAACATCTGGTTGATGAGGTTTTTGGCTTCAGGAGTAACGGTGTCCCATTCAGGGGATGGGAACTACAGAAGGAAGCAGTGCACAGGCCAAAGCTGAAACTCTTCCCCAGGCAGGGGCTGTGAATGGGGGAGAGGACCCAGGGTGTGGCAACAGGAGGCCCACTCCCACCCGGCACCCACTCACGTCATAGGCCCCAGCCTTGATCTGCTGGTACAGCTTGTGCTGGTCCTCGTCCCAGAAGGGCGGGTAGCCCACCAACAGGATGTACAGGATCACCCCTGTGGATGGGGACGTGAGCAGCACAGCCTGGAGGGCCCTGGGATCCTCAGTGTCCCTTTGGCCCCCACCATGGGAAGCTTGGCACCAACAGCCTCTACCCCCTGTTCCAACTCCACCTTATTTCACTAGGGAGCCCAGTCAGCCCCCTCTTCTGTACCCTCACCTGTGGGAGAAAACCCTACCTAAGGAGCCATCCTGTCATGTGGTCTGACAGTCCCTGGTCCCTATATCCTGGTGTCCGCTTTCTCTGGACCTAGACCTATGCTGAGCATCAGTGTACACAGATAATGGCCCATGGCATGCTGATAATTCTAATGCGGGTGTAAAACAGCCCAAACGCAGGTATGACACATGAACCTGGCTCTGGATGGAGTAAGTCAGTAACCTGCATACTCCAGGACAGAGGGAGTAAGCCTAGAAATGCCTCCCCTACATATTGTGCAACCCACCCACCTCACACAGGGGTCTCACCACATGCCCAGATGTCCACAGGTTTGCCATATGCCTCCTTCCGAAGGACCTCAGGGGACAGGTAGCCCGGCGTGCCAGCAAATCCTATCAAAGGGGAAGGGACCATGAGGGGCCATGAGGAGTTGCCAGTAGCCCAGGCCCACCCCCTGGGCACTCACCAAACCATGCCTGCTGGTCCCCCTGCACCTCGATGGCCAGGCCGAAGTCTGCCAGCTTCACCGCGGCCCCTTTGCACTTGCTGGCCAGAAGCAGGTTCTCAGGCTACAGGAAGATGGCCACCAGGGCATGGTGTTTATATCCCAGGCAGTTAAGGGAGGGATGGGGCACAAAACAGAGATAGCAGCAGTTTGCTGAAAGGGATGCACAGCCTGCCTCCAACATGGGTATCCTTGGGCATGACTGACTCCTAAGCCTGCACTCTACAGGCCAACTCCCCTGACAAGGAGAGCATCTCCAGCCTTTTAGAGGGAAGTTGGCCTTTAGCCCAAACTTGGATATCCTGGTTCCTTAAAATGGGAGCCAAACCTGCAGGGACTGGTCATATAAGGTTGCAGGGGCTTCTATAATCCTAGAACTCCCACTGATAGAGGGATGGTCCTGCCTTCCTTATTTCTGACATGGTGGAGAACACCTGCTGAGGGGCTTGGGCACTTCCTGCTTGGGCAGTGGCCCTCACAGGAGATGGAAGAACCACTAGGGGCACAATGCCTGGGTCAGCCCAGGGCATCTACCTGTCAGGCACAGCCAGCTCTAGTCAGTGCCACCACCCTGGGCAGAAGATAAGCACGGGCTACTTGCCCATCTGCATCCACTGGTAGGAAAGGTCATGCAAGCCCCCTCAGAGAATATCGTTCTTACCTCAGCTGGAGGGACATTTATTCTGTCCTACAGAAGCAGTTTAAGAGGCTGCTGTCTGTTGACTGTTGAGGGCCTGAGGGGTCCCTCTGCTACTGTTTCCCCTGGCATTCCTGTCTAGCCTCCAGTCACTCTGGCCTGTCCCTGCAGCTGTACCAGTTCCCAGAGATTAGGTCACAGGGCAGGGCTCAAAGTTCAGGAGGGAGTTCTTGGCTTCTGACCACCAGGGGGCTCCTGACCCTTCAGATCCTCTTGGCAAACTCATGGGCACCCTCATCATTCCATAGAGGATCCCTTCCTGGACTCACACTGCCACATGGCCTGCTTTTGGTATCAGGTTCCAAGACTTTACATGGTGCAATGTAGCCCTTGGGACCAAAGTATGCCCACCCTACACAAAGATGTGTACTCCTGAGTTGGCTGCTCAGGTCCCATAGGCAGACCAGAGCTTCACAAGCTGTGGCTGCAGAGCAGCCAGGGCCAACACTGCAGGCCCACCAGAACTCCCTTCTCCCTGCTAACAGGAAGAGGTCACCCTCAGCCTTGCCCATCTTGACTTTTATCAATGACAGCAAGCTGTCTGCCCCACACTGAAAATCTGCAAAGAGGAGGAACAGGGTGCCTCAGCTGCAATTCTGGTCCCATGCTCTGATCCCGGCCCCTTCTCAAAGGAACTGATGGTGGGGAAGGTGTCAAGCAAACTAGGACCCTGGAAAGTGCCAGGCAAGAAAGCCTGGGGCCCTAGAGGGAAGCAGTAGCTGGGCCCACGGAGGCTGGGCTGCACTCTGGCTCCTTCACAACCCATGATGAGCCAGTTGTCCTGTGCTTTTTCTTTGCCATGACTGAGTATCAGCAACCCAACATGGTGCCATCTGTGTGTCTGCCTTAAGACAGTGGGACTTCTCTTCAGGAAAGGAGAGATATTCTGCCCCCTCAACAGGAAGATGCAATTTGTCCAGACTTGAGGAAGTGAACGAGTACATACTTCCTTTTCTATGCCTTAGCCTCAAAGCTAATTCTCTGAGAACAGAGTGTCCATGCCTTATAAAACTAACAACAAATGGCATTCCCCTCTTCAGGGGCCTTGATCTGGCTGACTCAGATAAGATAAAGCAGGACCCTCAAGGAGGCAGGGATACATAAAGACATATGGGTGAGATCCCAGGTCTGCTCTGTATGACACTCTCCAGAGCAGCTGCCAAGACCAGCCCCAATCCATTGCCTAAGAAGGAGTGATCCCCCCACCATTCAACACAAAAGCTCAAGAGACAACTACCCTTAAATGCACTCAGGGCAGGTTTGGCATCCACACTGTCCCCAGACAATAGCAACAAGCTGAACCAGGCCTTGGAAAAGCAAAGATTAGAGGGAAGGAAGGAGAGGTGGAAGAGAGAGAGGGGGGGAGGCTTCTGAGAAGCTGAACCACCTTTTTTCTTTTCATAAGACAGGGTCTTGGCTGGCCTCAAACTTGCTGGGTAACCAAGGCTGGCCTTGAACTTCTGATCCTACTGCCTCAATCTCCCAGGTGTTGGGATTACAGAAATGAGCCACCACAACCAGCTACAAATGTTCTTTGGGACAGAGCCTCAAATTCATAGTCCAGCCTTCGGCAGCAGAGTATTAGAAAGAGAGGTTTGAGAGGAGTTGGCTAAGCCAGGCAAAGCCTGATCTTACCACTCTGCCCCAACTACCTGTCCCCACCTGCAAGAGTTGCATCTTGGTAGGAGCCTAGAAAAAGACTGAGTATACATCTGCTAACAGGCTGATTCCTGAAGGCTGCTTCTTCCAGCTCTGGAGACAATGGGAAGTATGTGTGCAGCTACATCTCACATAAATGCACACACACATGCATGCATGCCCACCCAAACACATATATACACATATACAGGTGCCTTTATGTACACACATATGCACATGGCCCTATACGTAGACATACACACAAGTACTAACATTCCTTCATGCAAGCACACAGTATGCACACACATCTTCCACATCCCACCCACCCCCACTCCACACCTTCTTTTATAAAACATGTAAGTGTGGATGACAAAAACCTCGCACAGAGCTGGGTAGAAACTCACCTTGAGGTCTCTGTGGACGACCCCCATTTGGTGACAATGGAGAACAGCCTCCAGGATCTGCTGGATGCAGTGACTATGGCAAACAGCAGGCAAGTTAGTGTAGTGGCCCTGGGTGTCTGGGGAGGGGAGCAGCAACAGGAGACATGGGGGAAGGCAGTGGTGCTGTGGCACACTGGGGTTCCATCCCCAGCCTCTGAGGAAGCCAGGAGGATGTAGGGAATCAAAGGGAGAGGAGATGTTGGCCAGAAGGGCTCCTTCTTAACCCCAAGGCCAGCTATTCTGGTCCTCGCTCTCCCTTCCTCTCTGAGCCCAGGTCTGCTTAGAAGACAAGACCAGACCCACGGAAATAACTTTCAGTAGAAGCACTCCTCCAGTTCCCAGCTTATCCCTCCCAGGCTCAGGTTGGCCAAACTGACGCCAACCTGTGGGCAGAGAAGCCAGTAGCAGTGAGCACAGAGGGCAAGAGGGTGGGGAATCTAAGGCAAGGAAGGGCAGTGCAGGTGGGGCGTGAACGCCATGGTGTGCATGTGAGCCCATCTGCTTTGAGAGGCTGGTGTGTGCTACTTCATCTTAACAGACATGCACCTGCACATCCATGTTGCTGGTGGCTGCCACACCGGACAGCCCAGCTCTACCCACGTGGGTATCTAGCTCAGCTTCCTGGGCCAGTGGGCAGCTTGAGCACAGGAGTCTCCTTGTTCCAACTCTTTCCTAGTTGGGGACAGCTATCAGTGTCAGTCTTGGGATCTTCCTGTCCTTCAGCACATCAGACTCTGGGCCACCAGCCCTGTGTATACAGAGGCCCTGTGACCTGAGCTCACCCCCCCGCAAGGAGCCCCTGGAGCCAGGCACAAGTCCCATGGTGCCCTATCATAGGAGTACTAGGGTGAAAGGTTGGCTTCCCTGGGGTACAGAGTCCACCCTTCTCAAACCAGCCCCCCTCATCCTGAGTCTGGCCACACCTGGACACGGCCAGTGTGGCACTGAAAATTACATCCAAGTTTCCTTCCTGAGAAAGTCACCCTCAGCATCCTAGTGGGAGGGTGTGGTCCCAAGGTTTATGAGTTCAGAAAGAGCCATGCCCAATACATGGGAGGCAACTCTCCTTAATGTTATCACCTCCACACTCTCACCTATTCCAGGGTCTTAAGACCCCTTCTTCCCAATCCCTTCCTCTCTCTTTCCCACTCCCATTTTCTTTTTGAAAACTGTGTTACTAGCAAGGAACTGCCATTTAGCATGACATCCTACTCTGCCTGGTACCATTCCTTGTCCTTGCCCTCTTTCTGGTCCCCAAGAGAATCCAGCACTTGTCCCTTGGGGTGATGCTCAGTCCTATGTAGGCTAGGAGTCAGCTGCGTTTGTGGCAAGGCCTGTAAGATTGGGCACTGCAAGCGTCATTCAAGTAGATAGAGCTGTCTCCCCACAGACCAAACAGGACAGATCCTGAAACCAGCAGGGGTGAGATTATAGGTTCAGAGTTCCTCCCTGAGGCCCTGCAGAGTGCAGCAAGCTCCTCCTGATTCTCCCAATGATCAACTGGCCCCTCAGGCTGCACAGAATGGGTGGCCAGGCCCTGTGGTCACTTGAGGCCCTGTCTGGATAAAAGGAGGGGCTCAGACTATGGGTCCCTAGCCACGGCTGTGGTCTATATAGCCCTGCTTGGCCAGCCTCCCCTCTCCCTAGGACACACTCCCTATGGAGTGATTTGTGTGCAGCTGTGGTCATCTGGAAGTGCCATCTCCCTACACAGCAGCAGCAGAGGCCCAACCTGCTTCACACACACAAATACTGAGAATACTAAGGGTAAAAGTCAGCACCTTCCTCAGTGTGTTTCCTCTAGCTTGGTCTTTTGAGAGACCATACTAAGTCCAGTCAAGGCTCTAGGCCCTTTGGCTTTACCCTCTGATGGCATGATCAGCGTGCTTGCAGCATTACACATTGTGCCACCCTCCTATCCTGAGGCACCTCTCCCAGTGGTGCTAGGCCTCAGAACACCACCAGTGACCTCTTCAGTGTCCAAAGGTACTACAGTGTTCAGAGGTACTAGTCTTGCTGGGATCAAGATCTTCCCTCCCTTGCCTGGTCCAGTCATCACCAGGTGGACGCTCCTCACATACTTCACAGTCACCCTCAGAGGGTTACTAGTATCCAAGAATCAGTTGCTCAAGCAAACCAGGGCATCCCAGGAGAACATGTTGTCAGGCTATATGAGGGGGAATGAGAATACTGGCCTGTAGGCAGGATAGAACAACCACCCAGCCCAAGAGCAGCCACTCAGGGAAGCCCCCACTCTCTGGAGAACTTTCCTCATGCCACTGGCCTGATCGGTAACCTCCATTACCGGTATGCCGTCTTTCCCAGGCAGGGTCAACCCCTTGGTCTTGTCTTCATTCTCTGAGTAGCTTAGAAGTCATTCTATGGTCAGAATCATCCCCAAGAAGCATTCTGGACACTGGCCACGTTCTAGGCATTATTCTCACAAGCTGAAACCTAATGTGACATCTTGGGAACAAGTCAGCATTTCACCAGGTCCCCTTCGACGCTTCCAGGAGCCATACTGTTTTCTAAGGCTTTGTGGATTGTTTTTGTTTTTTGAGATGGAGGTCTGATTATGTTGCCCAGGCTGGTTCCCAACTGCTAGGCTAACTGACTTTACCTTCCAAGTAGCTGGGACTACAGCACATGCCACTGTGCCTGACTTCCAAGACTTATAAGAAACAGGCTCCCAGTGTTGTGAGCTTTGCTTTCCTTGTTTTGCAAAACAAAACTTGGACACCCCTAAGTTTCCCCACAAACTCCAAAATAAAAGTTGTGCTTCATTCCAAGAGGAACGCCCAAACTTCTTGGATAGAACTGGCTTCAGAAAAGCCATTCCTGTCCATTTTTCTCCTCCTGAGAGCCGTGCCTCTGGCAGTCGGTCAGATGCTCTGTTTCCCGAATCTCAGGTAGTTGGCAGTCAACTGCCAGGCCAGACTTGTGGACATTAGAAACGTGTCTCCACTGGATACTGCTGAGTGGTCTTGGTCCACTCTGTCCTGGTACCTGGTCCTTTCCCCCTCAATCTTAGCACAATTTTGGCTCTAGTCAATGTTGGGTTTCCACCCTGGGGTGAGTCAATGGCTGTGAACAATCCACGGGGGTTATGTAGTCAGACTTTCCATTAGGCACCAAAGCCTGAGGCAGAGCACAAAGCTTCCTGCCAGCAGGCCACCAGGATCTGAACCCCAGCTCTATGTTTCCTCTTAGTGCAGGCTACAGGCTCGGTGAGAAAGAAAACTCTGAGGATGCAGAGGAACTGCCCTACAGGCGCTGGGGTTCTCACAGCAGTGGATTGTGCTCTTCTTGTGTCTCCTGTGCTTTCTCCCCCATAACTCACCCCCTACCCAGGACTTGGGATACCCACCCTTTGCACAGTCAGATTACTGAGCACCCATCCTCCACATGGGGTCCTCAATCCCAGAAAGGTAGAGTTTGTGAAAGGAAACAAGAAGTGTGTGGTAAGAGGGAGTGCCAGTGTCTTCTGGGCCAGGGACTAGGTCCTGAGGACTCTGAATACTTGGGGCACTCTCCACATAGGAGTACCCTGGATCGTAGTGAGGACACCTGCTATCTAAGAAGGCATGGAGGGGCCTGAGATCACAGAGCTCCTCCCTCTCCCATCCTAGAGTTTCCCAAAGGTTCCTGGGACCTGAACAGCCCAAGCATCTGGGAAGTCTCAGCCTCTCCTTCCTCAGCCTTCCTTAGACCAATAGGTCTTGGACAGGGTGGTATAACCCTATTCTCCCTTTCCCTGTTGCAAGAAGCCTGGCTGGAAAGGGTACAGGCCAGGTCCCTCAGGGCCACCAGGGGGCACTGTGGGTCTGTCAGAGACTGAGGATGGAGAGGCAGCGTGGTCCTTGCTCTGGTAGGAATGCAGGCCTGAGTGCTAGAAGTGGCACAAGTGACTTTTCAGGCAGGACTGGGCAGCTCCTTCTGGCCTCAATGGTATAAACAGCCCCCAGGTCTGGGGCTGACAAGGCCTATAGGGACTCCCCACACCATACGGAGACACAGGAATGGAAAGGGACCAGGGACTGAAAGACACTGATAAGGAGGTAGGGCACATCAGACACTCCAGGAGGGTCATGGGATCCTCAGGTCCAAGCATCCCAGTTCAGTGACATTTCCCACCCAGCACTTCAGAGCAGGGAGAGGGGCTCTCTCCCACTTTCTGCTTCTCTTATAAGTAGAATATAAGGAAAATGGTATTTTCCTCTACTCCAAGGGACTCTTAGGATGTTTTGCAAAACACAAAGTTTTTCCTGAAGGAGTCCCCTGGGATCTGGGGCTGAGAGGAGGGGCCACAGGCCTGCCCAAACCTGTCCTTCTCTATGATCTAGTCTTGGCTGCCTGACTCCGTTGGGTAGACCTGAATGGCTAGGATGAGCCAGGATGTTCATGGCTTCCCACAGTAACTCAGAGCCTGTGGTGAAGGGCAAGGTTGCCTGCAAGTGCAGAATCAAGTCACAAAAAGCTGCTGTAAAAAATATTATTCATTTTTCCTACTGGGCATGGTGGCACACACCTTTAAATCCCAGCACTTGGGAGGCAGAGACAGGTGGACCTCTGTGAGACCATGGCCAGCCTGGTCTCCAGAACAAGTTCCAGGTCAGCTGGGGCTACAGGGAGACCCTGTCTCAACAAAACAATAGCAATTTCATTTTTCTTGATTAGAAATGTAATAAATATTCATTAAAGAAGAGCTTTAAAATAGACAAGATAGGAGCTGGAGAGTACAATGGTTAAGAGCGCTTGCTGCTCTTACACAACTGGGGTTCAGTTCCCAATACCTACATAGTGGCTTATAACCATTCATAACTCCAGCTTCAGGGGGATCTGACACCCTCTCTGGCCTCCATGGGCACCATGCATGTGCTCTTATATACATGCAGGCAAAATACTCATATACAAAAAATAAAAATAAATAAAACAGACAAGATAAACAATTTAAAAGCATTCATAATTTCATTGCTTGGAAATGACCTCTGTGGCCCTTTCCTTTTTTAAACACTTATCTCTGTGGATGAGCAGAGATGGACAGGGCTCACAGACAGGAATTGACCATCCTTAGCTACCCCTGAAATAAGATGCAGTCAGGATAGTATCCAATGGCCACACAGGCCTTCCAGAGGCAGGGCCATCATCTCCCCAGCTGACACCATACATCACTCAGTCTGCTACCCAGCAGCCATGCTGTAAACAGTCATCTCTGGGTCATCATCCTTCATCACATCCCTGGTGAAGACTGGCCCTGGGAGAAAGGCTGCCCAAGTGTCCATGAGGAAGCCAGACCTGGATGGAATCCATGTACCTCCACCCACCCCACACCAGGGGCCCATAGACCTAGGGTTCAGTCCTCAGCCTGGCATCCTGTCTAGGACAAGATGTGGCCCCTTAGCTCTGAACTAAGGTTTCAGGTCTTCCCTGCCCTTTTCCCACTGCCCTGGGGTGAGGTGAAGAAGGATTCAGGGGCTCTGAGAGGAGAACCAGCGGTGTCTTTTCTAGAAGCTGCACGAGTATAGTCATGCTCATGCTGGGTGGGGCCCAAAGTGGCCTTGAGAAGACCCCATGGAGGGGATTCCTGACCTGCTCACCTCTGTGAGACTAGGCATGAGGTGTTTGTTATGGCTGTGGACTGAGAAGACCAAGAGAAAGGCAGGAAGATGCTTAGCTCTCCTCCCTCACAAGCCACAGCAAGGGAGCACCTCTTGTAATGCAGCAGGCCCAGCTGCTCCCTACCCAGGCCACACCTCTGTGTACCGACTAAAGACACACAGCTGCGCTGTTCTTTCAAGAGCTCCCCGCTGGCTATAGACCTGCTGACACTTCTACTCAATTGACCTCTGTGGGGCCCTGGAAGAGACACTGATGCACAGGACAAATGTGGGTTACAGAAGGAGTAAGAGTGGGTTGGAATGGGGAAAGAGCCAGGGGAGGGGAGAGGGGAAAGAGGTATGAAGCTCCACACCCACCTGGCATCAGCCTCACTGTAGTACTCTCTTGCCACAATGTCTTCAAAGAGCTCCCCACCAGTGACCCTGCAGGGAAAGCACATAGATAGTCATGGATTCTGGAGAGTCTTGGTGCTCTGCTACCTCCCTCACTGTCACCACTATCACACCTACCATCATCACTGCCACCACCATCACATCTGTCATCACTGCTACCACATCACCATTATCATCCCCATTACCACTCCCACCATCATCACCTTGGCCACTATCATCACTGTCATCACCACAACCATCACTATCACTACCACTATGACCATGACTATCACTCCCACCACCATCATCACCACCACCATCACTGCTACCACCACCATTTCTGTCACTGTCATCACCACCACCATCACTATCACTACCATCATGACCACCATTATCACTGTCATCACGGTCATGTCATCACTATCACCACTACCACTACCAATCACCCCCACCATCATTACTGTAGTCACTTCTACCATTTCATCACCATCTCCACCATCACTATCACCACCACCACCATCACTATCACTGCCTCTACTTCATCCCCATCATCACCATCACTAGCACCATCTCCATCCCCATTATTATCTTTGTCATCATAAACATTACCACCATACCATTATGACCATCACCATCACCTCTATCCAAGTGTAGTGCCTAGAACAACAGCTCATTAAGCACATACCTGCTTACATCTGATGACATGTACTTCTATTTTTACTTCTCTCCTTATAACCATTTCCTGAGGAAAATGACTTTGACAGATTCTATGCAGCCTCTCCAGAGTAGGTAGCACAGGGGTTTGAACCAGGGCCTTCCAGTGTTATACCAGATTTGTGACTCTAATTCTAGGTCTAAGAAGATATGGTTTCTTTTCTTCAATGACCCCCATCTTGGGTCAGATTTGAGACCTCACACAAGCAGTAGAGGCCAAAAGACATGGTGCCTGGAACTGGCCTCCTTGGTGGGCTAAAGTCTAGAGATACAAGTCTTATCTCCAGGAGGAGATCAGAGATATGGGTCATGGGCTCTGCCCAAAAACTCTTCTTCCCTTTGTCCCCAACCCAGCAAGTGCCCATCCTAAAGTAAAAATAGCAACATTTTTTTTTGTGCATGTAGTTTACACATGTGTGGAGTTGGATCCCAGGCTATCCCCAGCACCGTGTAATAGACTGTTTAGACCTCAGCACAACAACTCTTGAACCAGGCTTTTCAGACTTGAGTCTAGGCAAAAGGTCACTGGGTCTTGGTCCAGGGCTATAGGTCAGAGAAGGTCCTGAGAGGTGCCTCACCTGTCCGAGAACCAGACTCCCTGAGGACCTTTTCTCGGTCCAGAGCCTAAGGGCAGGGAGTTTGGGTCTGAATTGAGACTGTGGGAGACTTGGGACCGCTGTTGGGAGTCCCTTCCTCTGGCTATACAGATGTATTGAAAACTTTCCACGTCCAGGCCTGGTTGTATATCAGCCATCTCCCCAGAACCTGCAGAATTCCAAACTGTCAAGGCCTCAGGGCCTGCTGGAATGCTATCAGACTACCCCAGAACCCACTGTCCTGGAGGCCACAGAACTATGGGAGAAGGCTATTCAGGTCTTCTGTCCAGACTCACCATCATCAACCTCTCCCAACAGCTGCCTGCCTTGCATGTGTCCAGAAGGCTGAGAGATAAACACGCCATATACGCACATACACACCCAATTCTCCCTTCTCAGTTCCTAAAACAAGTGCAGCCATCTGTTGGCCACTAGGGGTCCTACATAGGGCCTTCCCCTCAGTACAGAGGCCTGTTTCTTGAGAACAGAGAGTGGTAGAAGTAGGTCTGGGGTACACAGGGGAAACAGTGAGTGTACCCCTCCCTCTCACCAAGCCATGGCAGGGCACAGCCTCAGCCAGACAGCAGCCCCAATTAATTGGCTGACAATTCTAGACAGGGTCTTATGGGACACACAGTTATCTGAGAAGGAACCAAGTCCCATGTGGGGTCAGCCCAGCCTCTCTACCAGAGGACCCCACATGGGTGGAGGACTTTCAGGTCTGCATGCCTGATAGCCTGGGCATCTGTCATTTGAGGGAGGAAGAGCTAAGAGGTAGCTCTAGGAAGGCACCTCCTGTCACCACTCAGCCTGTTGCTCAAGGGCAGCGGGAGGGCATGAGGTAACCATGGTAACAGCACAGAGCAGGGCTTCCCTGCCTGTGTAGCCTGGAGACTACAGGGGCAGACCAAAGCCCCTGGGCCCCCACCCAGCCCAGGGTCCTGCAGCAGCCCTGATTCATGGACAGCTAAATATAGTGCTGCTTAGCAGGAGCTGTCAGTGGTAAGGGAGATGAGATCATCGCTTCTAAATCCAGCAGGAAGTGAGAGGTGGAGTTGGCCCCAAACGCCTTCTCACTTAGCTACTGCATACACATTCTCGTGCAAACACACTCACATGCACATATGCACATGCATGTATCCCTAAATCACACCTTGACACGCATGAAAACAGACATGCACGCACACTCATGGATCTAACACAAATCATAGCTGCACGTACTTTCACAAGCTCAGGCATTCCCACACATGTGTACATACATACATGTCTCCACCCACATGTATAAACACACACGTTCATGCCAGCTAGCTATGCCCCAGCCCAGTGTGACAGGGCTTGAGGCCCTGAGGCCTGGGAAGGGAGGAAAGAGAGTCACTGACTGCTCTCTGGGATCTTCCCTCCACTGCCCCGGACCTACCAGCCTTCTCTATGTGGAAGACGACCTCAGGATGTTAGACTCAGACTTGTAGATAAAACCTGTGCAAAACCAAGTCAAGGGAGGTCAGGCCAAGTATGGATGGGGACGAAGTGACCCACTGCAGAGGTATACTCAGGGAGTGACCTGATGTGAGGACAGGACTGTTCCTGAATCAGGGATGCTATGGGCCCCATGCTGGTCCCTTGCTAGGAGTGAGAAAGGGTGAGGGTCCTTGGCTCTGGCACTTACAGATCGAAAACCAGGTAGTGGAACCCCTCTTCAGAGATGCTGTCATGGAGACGAACTGCAGGGACAGACAGAGAAGTCATGAAGAGCTGGAAGCAGCCCAGGATGCCCCTTACTGCCCACCTCCACCCTGTCCAGGTCCACACCAGCACCAGTAACACAGACCTCTGGGAGAGAGTGCCTCCCCATCACCATGGGGTCCTCCTCAGGGCCAGGCCCCAGTCCCTCCACAAAGCCAGGAAACAGGGCCCCCTTCCTGGCCACCAAACTAGTTGTGTGACCTTTGGAAGGACTCCCAGCCACCTGAGCGATCTCCATGGAACTGTGGCAGCACCTTGCCCTTTCCCCTGGCACCTGTCTATTTTTCTCTGTGAGAGGGAAATATAGGAATGGCTCACAGCTTAGCGTCTGACCGTAGCCTCTGAGGAGCATCACATGGGAGAGGATTCTGGATGAAGTATACTCATTATTCATTCTGGACCTCCAGATTGCCCTCAGCAGGACAGGGACCTGGCCTGGAGGAAGGTTTACCAGGTGCAGAATGATTCAAAGGCTGAAACCTTTAGTTCTGATCCCAGAGTCTTTCAGCCAGGGGAGTCCAACAGTCTCTCTCCCCATGGCCCTTGTTTCCACACCACTTGCAAACTTGTATTCAGTTCCCATCCAGACTCTGCCTGGGCTAGACAGGAGTTAACAGGGATGTGAGGAATAAAGAACGCATGAACACAGATGAAGAAGTGAGGGAGCACGGTGAGGTCTCAGTGTCAGACAAGCACTCTAAGGCCTGCCTTTCCTAGGCTGGAGATGCACCCTGCACCAAGCAGTAAGGATTTTCTAGGAATGACTCACTTTGGGCCCTGCTCTCCCACGTGCAGATTCTGCCCTTTGCTAGAACAGCGCTGCATGCCAGGGCTGCTCTGAGCACTTTGCTTTAGCCTGCCAAACACTCCACCAGGCTGCAGAAGAGGGAGCTGTAAGCACGAGAGGTTGAATAGTCAGCGGAAGGGCACACAGCCCACAGAAGGTGGGGTGGAGTGGTGGGATCAGAGTCTGGCTCCAGTGACTGCACTGTCGCAGCCCTCGCCCCTACGCTTGTGGGACCTACAAGTTTTTGCTGTTTTCCACTACCCAAGACTGGGCCACAGGGCTGGAGGGTGAAGAGAAGCCACCTTCTCCCTGGTCCCGCAGGGCCCCAGGACCTCAGGCAAAAACAGCCCACACAACTCCTATTCCTGGGCCCTCCCCCCGTCCTAGTTTCTAGCTGGCTGCCAGGGCCCTCCCTCCTGGCACTGGTCCTCCCAGGGGCCGTCCTAATAGCATCTTCATGCCCAGGAACGCTGATCTGCTCTGCACCTCCCTGGGTTCCAGCTACCTCAGCCAAATGGGGCACTTCACCTCAGGTATACCCTGGAGAGCCCAATAGGCCTCAGTCCTTCCACAGAGCCAAGAAACATAGGGCCACCCTTCCTGGCCACCAAATTAGCTGTGTGTCTTTGCGAAGGACTCTCAGTCACCTGAGCCTCAGTTTGCTGCTCTGTGAAATGAGTTGAAGCACCATCTGCCTATAGGTTGCTGTGAGTTATGTACCTGGTGGGAAGCTCCAGGACCTTGTCATGAGCCGTGGCCCGTGACTGTCATTGTCGCTGGGTATGAGGAACCTTAGGTATCTGAGGCTGGAGTCTGAGGCCACTTAGGGACCTGGGCTGCTTTCTGAAGCCCAGGGAAATGCCCAGCAGAAGTCATATTGAGCACAGTCTCTCTCCCCTGACCCTGCCCAGACCCATTCTCTGAGGCCCATATCCTTGTCAGCTCTCTTGGCCAGGCAGAGCTCTTCAGTGAGGACACATTTGTTCAACCTGGCCTCCCTATTCCCACCTGGGCCCCCACTTAGACAAGACTGGCCTGTGTCTCTCTAAGACAAGACAGATTCGAATGCCTCCTTTCAAGGACCTTCCTTGCCAACAAAATCCCTGGAGCTGAGCCAAAGCTCATTCTTCTCTGATTTCTTTCCAGTGGGGGCCCATCAGGGTGGTGGTCTGTCTGAGCTGTCCCAACTCAGGAACTTTGAGCAGAGAAAGTTTCAGGAGTTATAATGGGAGGGCTTTCTTCCATCTACCCTTGAAGACACTGCTCCAGAGGAGGCCCAGTGGTCCTTGAAGTTGCCTCACTGCCCCCTGGGTGCCCTAGGAAAGACCTGTTGGTGGGTGCTGCCTGTCCTCAGCCACACACCTCCGCAGAGGCTGAGAAGCTTGGGCCAGGAAGGTTCCATCTCCATACTAGGACATAGGTTCCTCCCTCAGCATGAACTGCAGGGAGCTGGTGTGTAGAGTTGAGGCAGTAGGTATATGGGCACCATTAAAAATGTATTCATATTTTTAAAACAGGTGCTTGTTTCAATGGCTTAGAAGAAAACCTAACTAGCACATCAGATTCGTGAATTCACAGACAAGGCTAAGGAAAAAAGTGAATTGTGATAATCTATTTAAATATTTTATTTATTATTTTTATTTTATGCGTATGCATGTATTGCCTGCATGTAGGTAAGTGCACCCATGTCGTGCAATGCCTGCAGAGGACAGAAGAGGCTGTCAGATCCCCTGGTACTGAAGTTACAGACAGTTGTTAATTGCCATGTGGGTGCTAGGATTCGAACCTGGGTCTGCTGTGAGAAAAACCAGTGTTCTTAACCGCTGAGCCATCTCTCCAGCCCCTGACAATCTATTTAAAACAGTAAGCAAATGACACTAGGCTACTACAGAGGTGGTGATGGGTAAGTCCTCTGCAGTTCCTAGCTAGGTCTGCCAGGAGGGCCCGAGTCAGGTTACCAGGGGCAAATCTCACCCAAGGCTAACCTACCCATCTCAGCCTCCCAGGAGAGAGGCGTGCAGGGCATGACTGTGCCCCTTTCCTGTTCTGCTGTGAGGACCCCCTTGCCCTCATGTTGTACCCCTACCGGGCAGGGCTCAAAGGCCCAATCTGGCTGGAGTTGCAGCTGTCTAGGAGCAAAGGGCCTTGGAGCATCCAAGAATAAGGGGACTTGGGGATCCTTCTGCTCTTCCCAACAAGTCCCTTGGACCCTTTCCTGGATACCTGAGATTCCTGTGGCTCGCAGCAGCACTAGCCCTTGCCTTCAGAATCAAGCATTTGATGTCAACAGTGGGCTATCAGCAGTCCTGGCTGCAGTTCCTGTAACCTTTCTCCTCAGCCTCTCAAGCTCCTTGCCTCAGTGGACCCCATCCTCTGGTTGTTGCTTTGCCTAGCTCTTCAGTCCTGAAACCAGGTGGCAAGAACTCGCTGACTTCCAAGCCAGACTCAGACAAGAGTGGGCTGGTGCACAGAGGAAAGCTGGCGCTGCTAAGGGCCCTCAGCCAGGACAGGGGCTCTAGACTCCCAAATGGAGCTGTGCCTAGTCAGAGGAGTTACTGAGGCTCTGCCTGCCAAGTTCTGCTTGGTCTCTGCCACTGGACAGCAGGAAATGTTTGGGATCAAATCCTGCACACCCATGAGGGCAACACCCACAGCCAAGTGGGACCTCCTCACCTGGCACAAGGCAGGCAGTTATAAAATGTGCTGAACAGTGAATTCTGGAACCTCCCGGGCGATGGTGTGCTGAGCTCAGGGCACACCCAGGTGAAGCACAGACCATCTGTGCTCAGAATACTCAGAATAAGCATTCCACAGATACCAACTGATTGTCACAACCTAGCCCAAAGCCCCTTCAAAAACCCTCAGGGGCTGTGGCCTGACCTGGGGACACCTGCCTTGGGTGGCACAGGATCCAAGGAGTTCCAGACCATGTGCGTCCCTCTATCCATTCGACCTTCTCCTTCTAGACAACCCCAAAGGCAGCCCTACCTCACACCAGGGCACCGCTTACTGATGCCTATATACTCCTCTCTGTTAGTCTTGCTTTGTGCCTCTCCTCTGAGGAGCTCTCTGCTGATGCCAGGCCACCTGGAGCCCAAAGCCTGGGGGTGATAGCCTGGATGAGCTGGGCCCCGTTCTAGGGACAAGGACCCAGACAAAACCCCTGCTCTTGCAAGTGGCCCAGTCAGACCTACTCCCTTGTACTTGAAGTACTGCCAAGGCCAGACCACACTCAGGGCTGTTCCATCTACATAGCCCTCCCTCTGACTCTGAAGCAGACTGGACCACCCTAGAGTGAGCTCTTGGCCAGGCCCTGCCTAGATACCCTTGAGTTGGCAATAGCAGGTGGGAGGAAACATACCTTATAGCTGGTGCTGGGACGAGGCCACGAGCCCCACTCACAATGAGATAGCTCAGCAGGTAGACATTAGGCCCATGACTTCAGGCGCTCATCATGGTGGCTGCAAAATGTTTCCTAAAGCCTCTGATACATTTCCTCTAAGAAAGCTGACTGTTTGTCCTGCATATGGGCTTCAAACAGAATATGCAGGAGTGATGCCACCCAGATAGGCCATTAAGAAGGTATATGGTTTTTCAAAGGGTTAAACAGAGCTCTCATGTGACCCAGCAATCCTGTTTTAGATGTATACCCTGAGGACTGAAGGCAGGGACTCACATACCCATGTGCCCTGTCACAGCAGCATTCACAACAGTCAAGAGGTAGAAGCAGCCCCAGTGCCCATCAATAGACTGATAAACACCATGTGGAACCACCACGCAATGAATGTCATTCAGTCTTAAAAAGGAAGAAATTCCTACAACATGGATGAATCTGGAAGACATCACACTAAGTGGAATAAGCCAGTAACAAAAGGACAGGTAATGTGTGGCTCCACTTCTATGAGGTTTCTGGAGTGGTCAGATTCATAAATACAGAAACAAACTGGCAGGTGCCAGGACTGGGAGAGGGGAATGAGGAGTTGTTGTTTAATAATGTCATGGTTGGCTTTGGATGTCAACTTGACACACCTGGGAAGAGGGACCCTCACCTGGGGAACTTCCTCTATGGGATTGACCTGTGGGCATGTCTGTGAGGCATTTTCTTGGTTGTTGAGTGATGTGGAAAGGGCCAGCCCACTGTGGGTGGTGCCATCCCTGGGCAGGTGGGCCTGGGTTATATAAAAAACCAGGCTGACCACAGACCAGAGGAGCAAGCCAGTTAGCAGCGTTCCTCCATGGTCTGTGCTTCAGCTCCTGCCTCCAGGTTCCTGCCCTGAATCCCTGCCTGACTGCCTTCAAAGATGGACTGTCACTGGAAGTATAAGGGGCAATAAACCCTTTTCTCCACAAGTTATTTTTCATCAGTGTTTTTTTTTATAGCAATAGAAAGCAAACTAGGACAAATGGGGCAGAGTTTCTATTGCTATGTATTTTTAACATGTTTTTAAAAGACAATCTACTCTTGTTGTGTGTCCCTCTCTCCGTGTCTTATAGTGTCTCTCACTGTTTTTGTTTCTCTGCTGTCTCTGTATATACAATGTTTGGGTATGTCCTCCAAAGGCCAATGTGTTGAAAACTTAATCCCAGCCCATGGCACCATTAGGAGGCAGTGGAACATTTAAGAGGCAGGGCCTGGTGGAGGGAAGTTAGGTCAGTGGGGGTATGCCTTTGAAGGGGATCTTGGGACACCTATTCTCTCCTCCGTTTTCTGGCTGCCATGTATAAGATGAACAGGCCTACTCCACCACCTGCTCCCACTAGAGACCCAAAGCAACCGGGCCAAGTGATGACGGATTGATATCTTTTAAGTGTGTATGTATATGTGTGTGTGTGTGGTATGTGTGCATGTGTGTATGCATGTTCACATGTGCATGGGCACTTGTATATGTGCTATTGCACATGAAGGCCAGAGGTTGACATCTGATGTCTTCCTCAATTACTTTCCACCTTATATATTGAGGCAGAGTCTCTCACTTGAACCCAGAGTTCACTGGGTTAGTCTAGGTAGCCAGCTTGCTCTGAGGCTCTCCTGTCTTTGTCTCCCAAGTGCTGGGATTGCAGGCTGGCCAACTGTGCCCACTTGGCCTTTACATAGATGCTGGGGATCTGAACTCCTGTCATCAGGCTTGCACGACAAATACTTTACCCGCTGAGCCACTTCCCCAGTCCCTGGAATGATGCCCCTGAAACAAAGAACTAAAATAAATCTCTCCCCCTCATAAGGGGATTATCGCAGGTATTCGTCACAGCAGTGGAAACTAACACTCTCTCCCTCTGTCATCACTGGCTCTGGAGGATCCTGCTGCCATGTCACAATGCTCAGATGGGGAGCTGCTCAGGGAGAGGAACTGAGATCATAGGAGCCACCTTGGAAATAAATCTTGAGGCTCCAGTCAAGTCCTCAGTAGAAACTTCCCTGAATGTATCCACCAGCCATGAGTGCCCTAAGCAAGGCAGGCATGCTGCGCCTGCAGTTAGGGAACAGCCTGGGCAGCTCTGAAATTCCTCCTCCTCCCCCTCCCCCTCCCCCTCCTCTTCTTCCTCCTCCTCCCTCTCCTCCTCCTCCTCCTCTTCTTCTTCCTCTTCTTTTTCTTCTTGTTTTTTTTTTAACATTTTATTTATTATTTTTATTTTATGTGTATGAGTGTATTGCCTGCATGTAGGTAAGTGCACCATGTCATGCAATGCCCACGGTCAGAAGAGGCCATAGTATCCTCTGGAACTGGAGTTACGGACAGTTGTTAGCTGCCTTGTGGGTGCTGGGATTCGAACCCGGGTCTTCTGCAAGAACAGTGTTCTTAACCACTGAGCCACCTCTCCAGCCCCTGCTCTGAAATTCTTAATAACTTTTGAACAAAGGTCCCACATCTGTACTTTGCACTGGGTCCCATAGGATATGTGGAGGCCTGACAGCCAGCTAAGCCCTCTTGAGAGCACAGAAGCTGAGATAATTCAGACTGGTTGACAAAGGCTTTGGGGTCATCTGTCCTGCAGCACAGGTGGCAAACATACCTCATAAAATCATCCTATGAGGTAGAGGGCATTTGTATCTCCTTTCACCAATGAGGACTCTGCTCAGAGCATGTGAGTAGGCCTCAGTTCAGGCCTCTGCCCTCTACACACCAAGCAAGCTGCCTCAGAAAAAAAACGGACTTCATAGTTCACGGCACTTTCTATAAGGGGGGACTTGATGTTTTCTATTGCTTCCCAGGTGAGCTTTCTCAGCTCCTTCCAGGACCTGGGGAGAGGGGCAGGAGCATCTCCATTGTCAGAGGGGAAAACAGGCTTCCCTCCCCAGGCTGGCACACACTGATTCCTGACTAACCAGTAAGTAAGGAGGCTACCTTTCCCAAAGTCACTCCCCTGCCTGCCCCCCAGCACTTGCTCATGGTCCAGGGTGGCTATGGGTAGCTTTCTGTTCAGGATGAGGCTGGGGTGGGGGCAATAAAGGAAGGCTTAAGATAGACTTATTGGGGAGGGGTTCCTCTCATCTCCCTTGCATCTCCCCCTTTCCTTCTCTAAGAGCCCCGAATCTTCAGACAGGGTACCATGGGAACCATACAGCCTCAGGTCTGCATTTGAAATGTTCTTATGTTGGGTCCCAACTTGACTGGAAAGAAGCTGCTGCAAAGACTTCCAGAGGCCACTTGTCCCTAGCCCAGACAGAAAGCTGGAAGCAGGCCACTGCTTGGAACCCACCCAGAACATACCAGGTATCTGGCCAGGTCAGGGAGATGTCTTATTGAAGGACTATCCAAAACAGCAACCTAGAGAACACCTGGCTCTCCCTGCAAATAAGGCTTCATGTAAACGCAGGCAGTATGAGCCATAGCCTTTGGTTGGTACTCAGTGGGTTATGGGTTATAGGGGTGGGGAATGAACAAAGGGTGAGCAAGGGCTTGGAGGGGTGAAGGTAGAGATCTTCTTGGAGTTGGGTGGGGTGTGGCATCTTCCAAGATTTCCAAGAAGAGGGCAGTGCCCAGTGGTGAGGTGACTGAGGCTCTGCTCACTGAGCTGCAGGCACTCAGGATCCTAAGGATCCCATAGACATGGCTGAAATCTAGGTTCCTGGGCCCACTGAGGTCTCCTGAATCAGTGGTCCAGGGCAAGCCCAAGTATCTGCATGTCAAGAGGGTAATGCTCTGAATCTAAGAGACTGGGCTCCATCAACTGGTAGGCTCAGACCAGAAAAGACTCAGAAATGGGGGGTGGCTTTTCCTTCCCCATCCAGCCCTCAGCCCTGGGCTGGTGGCTAGCTGAGGACTCCCAGTACCCTGGAGGGCAGCAGCAGGAATTCCATATGCCCGAAGTAGATCCACTTTTCCCCTTTCTATCTCAGTCCCTTGACTGGAAAGGGATGTAGAAGATAGGCTCCCAATCTGGTCGTTCCTCATAGTCCCTAGGGACCCCTTTTAAATGCAGATTCCCAGGGTCTGTCCTGGCACAGGTGAATCTTTGGAGTGAAGGGTCCAGGAATCCACTGATAAATCTCAGTGCCTCGAAGATCAATCAACCCACCACCTGTAGACATCCAAAGTATCTCCAGCTGATCCCTATCATGGGTGCTGAGCTCCCATATTCCTCAGCTCCAGAGAGCCCAGAGTCGGGAGGAACGGGCACAGTGTGTGCATATACAGAAGGGCCTTGCTGCAGTGGTGGAAGAACTCAATGATCTGGAGATCTTGGTCTTTCCAGGGTCAGCCTGGGTCCCCGCAACTCTTAGAACCATGTTTATTACTTGTGCACAGGACTCATCTGGGCTTCAGGAAGGGGACTGGCAGGTAGTGCAGCTGTGCTTTCTGTGAACTAAGATCTGGCAGGTAAGCCAGAGAGAGCCCTGTGACTCTCATCTTGGCTCCCGTCTACCCCAGATGCAGCAGGCAGGACTGATAAGTTGCTCACTTGCCAAACACCTACCTCCTCCTGGAAGGACCAGTAGGCCTCACATTGGAGACTCTCCCTATGTGCAAGGCTTGGGAAAGTCACTGGTCCCACGTTCTGAATGTCTCTGTGAACATTTGCAAAACCACCCACTTTGCCCTCCTTCCAGAGCTCACCAATGTTTGAATGCTTCAGCAGGCGGCAAATCCGAGCGGACCAGTAGGCCTCACATTGGAGACTCTCCCTATGTGCAAGGCTTGGGAAAGTCACTGGTCCCACGTTCTGAATGTCTCTGTGAACATTTGCAAAACCACCCACTTTGCCCTCCTTCCAGAGCTCACCAATGTTTGAATGCTTCAGCAGGCGGCAAATCCGAGCCTCTCTCTCCAGTTTCTGGTGATCTGGCAACAGAAAAGAACAAGGCGTCACTGTGTGCCCCGGCAGCAGGAACTCATGGCAGCCACATCAGGTTAGAACCCTGTGAATGTCTTTTCTTGGCTCCTATCTACAAGTGTGTGCAGCAGCCACCAGCTAAGAGGCTAGCCAGGGACCCCACAGACGAGAGAATGAGTCTATCCAGACTGGCCTCTGGGGTACCCACATCACTGCCTGAAAGAGAGAGGACAGGTGTGGGCACTGAGGGCCATAAGCAGTTGGTGCCTGGGACAGAGACAATGGGTGGCAGTGGGTAGACTAAATTTGGGCTAAAAGTTTCTCCATAAGTGCAAAGAACAGAAAGTGCTGTTAGTGGCACACTGACTTCATCATTTATTGTCCTAATTTCACTTCCAGGTAATACAAGGATCTGCAGAACAATATGTCCATCAGGTGGTGGCAAGGACGAGCCCTGAGGTCAGAGCTCATGGCTTCTTCCTCCCCAATTAGGCACAGAATCTGGTTCTGAGATGACAGGCCACCAGACAACTGGACCCCCAGTTCACCCACCAGAGGCTGGTGCCCCTCAGAAAGTCCTTCCCTGAGACTCCCAAACATGGAGCAATTTATTAGCCAGAAGTTTTACATTTCAAACAAGGGTGCCAGGAGGATTTGAAAAGCAGGTAGAGATTATAACAGCAAAAAAGAAGAACCCACTGCAACAGAAGGGAAAGCTCCGAATGGCAACAGTCACATCACGTGGTGGAATGCAGTGCAGCAAGGAAACAGAGCTCTTGGCCCACACCCCCAGGACTGTATACCAGACCTCCCAATGTAATGCTGCCACTGGGTCTCAGGAGAGAGAGAGAGAGAGAGAGAGAGAGAGAGAGAGAGAGAGAGAGAACCCAAATCGAGGGGAAGGGAGGGGAAGGAGAGAGTGAGAGCGAGCAAGAGAGAGTGAGAGAGTGAGAGAGAGCGAGAGAGAGAGCGAGAGCGAGAGAGAGAGAGAGAGAGAGAGAGAGAGAGAGAGAGAGAACACACGCGCAGGATTTTCAGCACTGAGGACAGCAGCTGTCTCCCAGCCAAGACTGGGAGGGGATGGAGCTGGTGTTTAGAGCCCCAACCCCTGCTGAGAGCTGAGCCCCTCCTAGAAAGGTAAGCCCATAATTAATGTGCCAATCCAAACCTCAGAGGGGTGCTTTCCTCACTAAAGGAACTCCCTAGCACCAGCAGAAGAGAAAGAATGCAGACGACCATTAAAAAGGATGTCTAAAAGGTGTTCAAGTCAGTCTTCAGGCTTCTGGTCCCTCATGCTGGGGAAAATTGTTCACCTGCAGGAAGGCAGGCCTGGCCAAATCTTCTCTGTGGCCAGATGCGTAAGGTGGGCACAGTGTGGTCTAAAGTCTGGGACACATGTGGAAACTTTACACATATGCCTTTCTCCAGGGCAGCTGTGCCTACAAGAGGCAGGTCTCTGGAACACATTCAGCAGGCTTCCCTTCCACCACAGGAGGATAGGCTGACCCTCCTGCCTTGTGGAGAGAGGACTCAGGCCCTACCTCACTGTTTAGAGAAGCCCTGTACTCTCTACTCCTTCAACTGGAATATCCACTCCAGCAAGCTCTGTGCTCTCTTCCAAAATATTCCCAAGCCCCCAGTGGTGTGGGAGCTGAAGAGACATGGGGTAGAAGCAGCTCAAGTGTGGCCCTCTGATGGGAAATGCAAAGACAGACAGAGCTCTTGAGTCCTACTACCTTTTAGGAACTCAGACATGATGAGAATTTTTACCCCAAACAAGAAAAGGGTACATACAGGGCTGTGTTTAAGCTGGTTCATTCACTTTGGCAGTGACATAGACTCACATGCACACACACACACACACACACACACACACACACACACACACACACTATATACCTGCTAACTCAGGGGGCTGGTTAGAGAAACTCAGGCAAAAGATGTACTATTTATTCCTCCTACCAGAGAAACATCCCACAGATAGAATACAGCATTCATCTACACTCCCATAAAAGCACTTATAAAAAAATAACAAAATAAAAAATACTCAAAACAATTTTACTCAAAAATTTTACTAAACCAGAGCCTGCAATTATCCACCCGCCTATCTGAATTCTAATGATAGTGCAAAGTCCCAAGATTCCACCCTTGGGGATGCCAAGGGCTGGAAGCTTTTCTAGGTGATTCCGCCATGATATCAGTGTGCAGGGCTGGCCTACTAGGCTGTCTACTCTGTCAGACCTGCACCTCAGGTGTCCCTGAGGTCAGTAGTATGTTTGGGGCCTAGTGTGGGGGCAAGGCTCGGGGCCATCAAAGGTTCTGGGAAGGGAAGTGGCCGCAATTGAGCCTGCACACCCACGCTGGGTGACTCATGACAGGGTGCAGTAGCCTCACACAAAAAGCTCCCCCACGCAATGCTCCCATGTGCCAGCCAGGCAGGTGACTCAGTTCAGCCTCAAAGCCAAGGCCTTTTTCCACGCTCAGGGACTCTATGACAAAGCCTTGGCTTGTGTCCTCTGTGGGCTACAGGCTGGTGGTTGCCTGGTGGCTACAGCTCCCACACACTGAATAATCCACCACCTTTTACAAATACTGCCACAGAGGCTCACACTACAGAAGCACACAGGAAGCAGTCAAGAGCCCAGCCACAAGGCTTCCCTTGCCCCACAACCCACAGTCCTGCGAAAAACACAGTAAAAACCCCATAGTGTCTGTGTCACACACTTCCAGGAGCTGGACCACCTGCAGGAGCTGAGATTGGATAGTACACGACCTAAGGCTCAAGCCACCTTTCAGGCTCAGGGACCACAGGCAACCATTTTCAAGCTCCATTGATGTAAATCTCCCCCAGGGTTCAGGAAAGGGAGTAGGACTATTCTATGCTGTCACTATACAAGTGACAGGGCTAGTGTCCACCACCCTCAAGATGACAGGGGCAGCGGCTGCCCCCAGGTACTGGCAGCCAGGCCACAACATGTGACATGTCCTTCTGGAGCACCTGTCACTGGATAGGCACCATCTGTTCTGTGAGTGTTACAGGTGATATAACCTGTTTAATTCCAAAAATGCCCTGAGAGGCAGCAGTGGCAGGCTGGTGACTAGGGACAAGAGAAGTAGCCCACCTTCCACATCTAGGGCATGGTGCCAGGGATATAGCACCTGGAGGCCATGGCAACAGGCCTGTCAGACCAGGTGAGGTGACTTCTGTAGTCAATCTCTGCAACTGACTATCATTTCCTCTTCCTTTCTCCAGAGATAAGAAGGCATGGGGGGAGGGGGGAGCTGGTAGAGATTTCCTCACCCACCCCAGGCACCTTCCTCTCCCCCAGTTCTCTACCCTGAGCACCCCGCAACCTGCTCCTTGGCAGGGGTGACTCATGGCACGGCGGATGGGGGTGGCAATAGAGAGGAGCCAACAAGCAGGGGACAGGAGGGGCGTGGGTGGCACCCAACCTTGCCAGCTGCAGGCTGCCATGGGAGGACACTGGGTGGGGCAGGGGAGGGGCAGGGAGAGGGAGATGTGAGGCCCACTCCCATAGGAGGGGCTGCCTCCCGCTCACCCCCACACATGGCCCTGGGCCTCTGAAATTATGCGAACCAGAGTCCATGTGTGGCTGCACAGGCATATGAGTCCCACATGCAAGGAGGCTTGGGACAAGTGACAGCCCTTTGCTGGGCTTCATCTGGATGACAGAAACAAGGACAGTGTCTGGTCTGAAAGGACTGTGTTGGACTGAGAATGAAATCATGTGAAGGATACACACCATGCCTGGCACTCAGGTGTGTCTCCATCCATCCATAGGCAGCCCTGCCTCACTCCAGGGAAGTTGACAGCAATTCCTGGGAAACACCCCCACACCTTCTCTAGGAAGGCTCAGGTCCCAGGAGAGACCCTTAGAGATATGTAGCTTGACTGGGGAGGGCCTGGAAACGTGGACCCTACCAGTGGGGCCAGCAGTGGGAGTGGGACCCTGCCCCCACTGCCCTATCCTGGACACACAGGAGGCTAGGGAGGGACTGGCCACAGCTGTCAAGGCTCTACTCCCCAAGGCTAGGTCAGCCAATACAAACATGAGCTCAAAGCCAACATCACTGAGCTGGGCAGATGTCAGCCCACCTGTGTACTGCCTGAGGTAGCTGTAGGCACACTGGATGAGGGGTAGCTGGAGGTTTCTGGTAAACAGGCCATGTCACAGGACTCTGGCCCTGCTTAGTGAGTTGAAGAGAGCTCAGTTTACCACTGAAGCCTAGGCTATTTGGGAAACTGCAGCTGCTTGCAAGGCCCACTGGGGCCTCAGTCTCTCCCCATTAAAAGGGTAGCAGAGGTGTCACATCCATCATTGCTGCTCCTGTCCAGAAGAAATAAGGGCCACAGCAGACAGAGGCTCTCCCTCCAGCCTACCCCTCGCTTCCATTCCTCTAGAGAGCTAGAGCTGTGCCTGTCCAACACTCCAGACTGCCGTGGGGTGAAGGCCCTGCTCCCTACATCTTTAGAATGTGGAAAGACCTGTCCCAAGGGAACTGGCACTGTCATACATAGTCCTGCTTTCCTTCTCATCTCTCCCAGCCACATACATATTGGACATCCTGAGGGCCTCAGAGGGATCAGAACATCCACGTCATACAGTACCCCAGGGGTTTTATTTCCTAAGCATGGTCTGGTACCAACGCACTTCAATCCACCTGGAAGGTAAGCACTAGCTTTTCACACTCCTAAGGGGCAGGGTGCTCAGGAACCCAGTAGATCTCTTTGTGGTGAGCTCCAGGTTGGATATCATAGGATATCCTGAACCTTTGCAGAAGGGATGGCTCCTACACCTTCCTGTATTTGCACCAAACACCTGCAGACCCTGGGTGGGTGCCAAAAACGCAGCAAAAATGAGTTCAGATCTAAGAGCTGATGCTAGCTAGCCTAGGGCCACTAGGAAGGTCTATGAAGCTCTGACTTTGGATTTTTTTTTGAGGACAGAGGGTCTGTCTGACAAGATAGAGGTGACTTCACCCAGGT